TACCCATCATGCGATCATGGTGTTTGCAAATGGGGGGGCGCTGCACCCCCTCCCCCCCCCCAACCCCCCCCCAACCCCCACCACCTTTTAAGCCGTGCAAGCTTGCTCCAAAGCATATGAAGCTTTTTTAACCCATCACGCGATCATTGTGTTTGCAAATGGGGGGGGGGGGGCTGCACCCGCCCCCAACCCTCCACTTTTTTATGCTGTGCAAGCTTGCTTCAAATCGTATGAGTTTTTTCCAACCCATCATGCGATCATTGTGTTTGCAAATGGGGGGGGCTGCGCCCCCCCCCAACCCCCCCGCTTCTTTAAGCCGTGCAAGCTTGCCTCAAAGCGTATGAGTCGTCTTGTTCAGCCCATCGTGCGATCATTGTGTTTGCAAATGGGGGTGGGGGGGGGGGAGGGGGCTGCGCCCCCCCCAAACCCTCCTGCCTCAAATCAGATGAACCTCTTTTTTTAAGCCATCATGCGATGATTGTGTTTGCAAATGGGGGCCGTGCAAGCTTGCTTCAAAGCATATTCATATGAGTCTTTTTCCAACCCATCGTGTGATCGTTGTGTTTGCAAATGGGGCGGGGGGGGGGGGGCTGTGCCCCCCCCCCCCCCCCCCCCCCCCCCCGGCGCCCCGCTTGTTTTAAGCCGTGCAAGCTTGCTTCAAAGAATAATGAGTCTTTTATGGCCCCCCCCAGCCCCCCCCCCCCCCCCCCCCTTTTTGAGAAGAATGCTGTTGGGACGGTGTTCTGTTGCTCGAGGTTTCTTAGAGATGAGGGCTACCTGGGATCAAGCAAGTCGTTAATGTCAAGGCCTGAACTTCCTAACCCTTCAGTACGGACTAAACTAAACCTTTCTATACCGGGGCGGGAGCGAGGGGCCTATATGTTATTGCCGAGCTCCCGTCCCCGAACTCCCGTCCCCTTCCCGTCCCGTCCCGTCCTGTCGCGGCCCGGCCCGGCCCGTCCCATCCCGTCCCGTCCCGTCCGTCCCCCGTCCATCCCCCATCCCCCGTTCCCCCGTCCCCCGTCCCCCGTCCCCCATCCCCCGTCCCCCGTCCCCCGTCCCCCGTCCCCCTCCCCGTCCCCCGTCCCCCGTCCCCCGTCCCCCGTGCGCCGTGCCCCGTCCCCTGTCCCCCGTCCCCCGTCCCCCGTCCCGTCCGTCCCCGAACTGCCTGCCGTCCCCGTCCCGTCTCGTCCCGTCCCCTGTGCCGTCCGTCCCCGCCCGGCCCGGCCCGGCCGGCCCGGCGTCCCGTCGGCGGACATCGAAAACCAACTGGCGGACACGAACGGGAACCGGCGATATTCCCTTGCAAGTAGGTGCGTGCGAATGTTGCTGTCAAGCTTCGGTTGTAAAGCCTGATGTTTGCGCCAAGGCACGGCCCTCAATGCGATGGGGCGGGGGGCGCCAACATCCTACTCGCTATCCCACAACTTATCAACCACTACGCATCACTACGCGCCACCAAACACCCGCCATTTTCACCATTTCCACCATTCCCCCCCCTCCGGAAAGTGCTAGACATTCTCTACCAGTCCTCACCATTTTCACCATTCCCCGCCTTGCCCGCCAGTACCAGCCACTATGTACTCGCCATTTCCGCCATTCCCACCCTTCCCCCCCTTCCCGCCACTACCAGCCATTCCGCCATTCCCCACCAACTACCACTCCCAGTGTTTCCATCTTGAACCAATTGCCCAACATTCCCAACGCTACCTTGTTCTGCAGGGTGGATCGTGGAAACGGAACTCCTCAATCTGCCAAACCCCTAAACCCCTTTTTGGACCCTATAACCCCCCCCCCCTCCCCGGATTGCCCAGGCTAAGAACAAGAACCCGTAGAATAAAATTAAACACCATCGGATTAGGGTGGCGTGTCCTGAGGCCCGAAAAAAGAACCGCCAGAATAAAATTAAAAACCATCACCGACAGAGAATAAGAAAAAACACCCCGAGAATTAAAAAAAAAACCATGCCCATTTTTTTAATGGTAAGAAGGGCCCTTAAAGTGATTGTGGGGGGGTTTAGGAAAATAGGGGGCGCCCCTCAAATAGACCCCAACATAGCATAATCAGGGCCCAAACTAGGGTGCCCCCCCTGCTTTCGTAACCCCCCAGTGTGTGTGGAGTGGAGGCTGCTGAACCTGAGCTCCCAAATCCCTCTGCCGGATCATGTTCGTGATGTGCTCGACCTGGCAGGCTGGAGAAGACAGATTCTTGTTCGGGGAGGAGACCAGGCGTTGCCGCGTCAGTGATAGACCTGGGCTAGCCACCAAGTGGGTGGTTGCGCAAGGACGGGACACTTCGGGGAAGTGCTCATGAAGTACTTTTGAATCACGGGTCTTCAGCAGCTGTTCAAAGAGCACAACTTACCGAGTTCGAGTGCACACTCGTGAAATCACCTACGGTACCACAAACACGCAGCCCAAGCTACAAACACCAATGCCAGCAGCTCCTTACGTCCAGTCCTCAATGCCAGGCCAAAGTGGGCACAGCCCAAGATGGAGACTGTTGTGAACAACGCCCTTAAAGTGCCAGTGCAATTTCGCAGAGGCTGAGCAGTGGAAAGGCCCTCGGTGAGTAGAGCTAAACGATGAATGTGCACCCCTTCCGAGAGGCAAGAAACGGTGAGGCTTCGGGTGGCTTAAGTCAAACAAAGTTCCGCAGCTGTGGCTTGCCATTTCTCGCCCGGCAGATTCCTAAAGATGCTCCTTCTTTCTTCAGCACCTCGCCCCGTGTGTCAGAAGCACCAGCGGTGGCTACATGAAGCGACGCCGGTCTCGGGCCACAGGCTCCTTGGTCGCTCCTCTGCAGGGTTTCACTTGTGCAGAGACAAGCTTGGGTGAGCTACTGGTAGGTTGCATAAAGGACTCCGCATGAGGCAACACCCTCGTTGCACCATAGGAAGCTTTATTTCTATTTTTTTCTTCCTAGAGCAGGCTTGAACCTATCCAACCCCCCCAAGCTCCATCTTGAAGCCTGACTCATTCGTGAAATACAGCAAGTTGAAAAAGCGCTTTTCCCCTTATGCGCAGTCAATTCCATCACTTTCCATCCCTTGCCCTTTGGCAGTGCCAAGCGGAAAGGCAGTGAGCGTCCTTCAGCAGCATCGGGGAGCGCCTCGCGCCGCGAGAGTCAGGCCTGCACCATGCTGCACGCCCTGTAGTTGGAGTTAGGAGTTGGGAGGCTGGACGCACACAAATACGCACATGTCATCACATAATCACATGTTCCGATGAGCGATGTGCAGGCAGAAAGGAACAACCAGTCCAGCCCCCACCGACGATCCTTGCTGGAAAGCCTGACGGAAGGGGTGCGCCCACGCCGTCTTCGTAGGTCTAGTTCTCGCTGAGAACGAGGAGTTACTCCGAAAGCTTGCAAGTATGATCAAAGAGTCCAGCTGCAAGGGTGAGCGGTGATGTCGGACAGCATTGCGACTAGTGACAACCACGCGGATGCTCAACTGACCACTTTGCGGCTCGGCTTGACCATCATGCGAATCATGCCCTGAAGGTGGCGAACCTCTGGGCCAACCGGCCAGAGGCACCGCAGGCCACTCCACCTTCATCGCGGGACCCGGGCGGGTGTGTTGGGTATATTTCAAAACCTGATCCTGCTCTCCACGGGGTACCTGCATGTTAGACATGTCAGCCGGTGGCGACATTGCACAGGACTCCTTCCAATCAACGGCCCTGAGCCTACAGCACAGGAATGATGTCAGCATACCTGTTGCCTTTGCCATAAAGTGCTGCTCCTCGTAATCCAGGTCCTCATAAGCAAGGATGAGGCCGATCTCGAGGAGCGGATGCAGTGTCCGGTATGATTCGGTATGTGGGCACGGTATCTGCCTTTGCCTGGGCTTGGCGTTGCTGCTCAGAGCTGATCATGGCCAGGAGACGAGGCAGTCGGGCGACGGTGCTGCCAAGGTGCCAATGTGAGAGCAGCATGACTCAGCATGATGCTGTCTCCGTTTCCTCATGCCCAGTCGAAGTCTTGCATAGTAAGAAGACGTGTTTTTTTGGAGCTCAGATGCTTCTCCATTGCCAGGAACACTTTAGGCATCACGGGCAGATTCGCCCCCTTTTGCAGGAAGGCCCCAGCCTGGTCGACGGAGAGCCCCGGTCCTCGCAAGCCTCGCTCCCGGTGGCCTTGTGAGCCTTGAGAGGGTTTAGGGTTGAGGGTTTAGGGTTGAGGGTTTAGGGTTTAGGGTCCTTGCGACCATTCCTGGAGCCCCACCTACTCTCTGAGATTGTGGGGGGAGTGTCTGAGGCAAGACGCGGGACGCTCTTTGATTCCGCCGATTTCGCCCAGAGCTGGAAGAGGACCTGCACTTGCTCGTTACCTCGCGCTAGATGTGGGGTTTAGGTTTAGTTTAGGGTTTAGGGTTTAGGGTTTAGGGTTTAGGGTTTAGGGTTTAGGGTGGGACTACAACTGCTGCGACTTGCACTCTGGCTGCTGCTGATAGTGTCAACGCCTTCAACGCTACTCTACAGCTACAACTGAGCTATAGTAGATTATCTTAAAGTCATTACGTAGCTCTTAAACCTGCGGTTAAGTTACTACGGCGACGGTTGCCATTGCTTCTACTACTGGTGCTGGTACTGCTACTGGTACTGCTTCGTTTCCCGTTTTCTACAACCCCTTCCTCCCCATGGTTGCTTGATTCCAGCACGAGAATATGGCAGAGCTCAAGCTCATGCCCGAAACCCACCCAGTTCTGCGAGACTTCTGAGGTGTTTGCCGTAGTTTGACAGTTTGGATTGCTCTTGGTCATCAGCACCTCGAGCGTGTGAAGCTGGTCGGTACGCCTCAGCAGGTTAAGCTTGTGAGCCTTAGTGCGTCATGTTTTTGGCCACTGCACCCCTTGTGGCCTAGCAAGTGACGGCATTGCACCTGCTCAAAATCATAGTTGGTGGGTCTTCCCACTTGTGTTTATAGTTACTATAGCTTTTCATACGACCAGCACTAGCATCGTTAGCAGTACTTGTAGTACTGTTGTTGCTCCTTCTTACTGCTGCTGCCCCCCTTTGCGTTGGAATCTGATGAGTATGTAGTCTGTCATTTCCTCGAGCATCAATGCTCCTACTTCGTAACTCCTGCTGCCAGAAATGTGGTTGCGTAATGTCCCTGTCTGCTGTGGCATCTAGTTTTCGTCGATTTCTTCATACAGACGTCCAATCTTAGGGAACTTCACGCTGCTGGCAAGACTTTGAAGGCTGTCTTCAGACTTCTCGGCGGGCGTGGACTGCTCAGGTTGTTCACGCAGCACCACGTGCTAGCAGCTTCACCAGTGCATGCCGCAACTATGCCTTCCTCTGCTCGAAAGTGTACATATTCTGTGGATTGAGCCAGCGGTGAAATTGTCTTGGTCGTGTGAGTTGCAGCAGCACAGTGGGGCAGTAGCTTCATGATATAGAGGCATTCGTCTTAGCTGCCGGATGGTGTCAGCATGAGTCAGTCAGGCGAGGGAAGGCACTTTTCCTTTGTCCCATGTGTGGGAGGAGACGCCAACCCGCTGTCTGTACCTGTTTCTCTCACACATTGTACTTTTCTCTCTCTGCCGTGCGCTCGCCCTCTTTCTCCTTCCTGTCGCCCTGCCTCCCATTCCGTCCCTCGCTTGCTCTCTCTCTCTCTCTCTCTGTATGGTTCATCCTTCGTCTACATGTTGCCCACGCTGTTGAGAGTCTCAGGAGTGGGCGGGCATTTTGGCGCATCGTCTCTTCTTCGCATCAGGCGTATCAATCACCCTTTTCTCCTTTCCCACCTGCGGCATGTGGGATCCCCCACCGAGGTGCCCAGAGCGATGCACCCAAGACGTGGCAGTTGCATCCAGCACCCAGCAGAGTTTCCCACTGAGCGAATTCCTAACTACTCGCGCACGAAAGCCATGTATTCCAGAGTGGCATAGGAAGCTGGCAGGGGCCAGCAAGGCCCCAGACAAGAACTACCCAATTCGTAGGTTACCGGCATGCGATAGTCATTTCAGAATGGCACTGGCCTGTCCTCATGCTTGAAGCCTGATGCCCATGATGTGCGTTGGGCGCCCGCTACTCCCTTGGAACGTGCTGTTTATCGGTAGCATGCGGTCCGATGATGTTCGCCCTGGCCTTCCATCTTCCGACATGACAATAGCGCTTCGAAAGCGCATCATTTTCTGGAAATTCCATGCCTGGTACATCCTGGTTTGCCTGTGTTCTGCCTTGGTCATCATCACAGTTTTAGTATTTCCGCAGGGCTCGCAATCTGCCAACCTGGGCCCCTTGTAGGCCTTGCGGCGCTTCTGTGCCAGCGTACCCAGTAGTGAATGCGGTGCAGCATCAGTGTTTGCTCGACAAAAAGACCCTAAACCCTAAACCCTAGACCCTAAACCCTAAACCCTAAACCCTAAACCCCAAACCCCAAACCCTAAACCCTAAACCCCAAACCCTGAAACCTAAGCCCCGTATCTGCTACACCGATTCTGAGGTGGCATCCATCACGGAAGCCTTGAGATCGGTTCCAACGCCTGAGGCCGGCTGGAGATGTAGTAGTAGTAGTAGTAGTAGTAGTAGTAGTAGTAGTAGTAGTAGTAGTAGTAGTAGTAGTAGTAGTACACTTTGGGGCTTAGTGCTGGAGAAGCCTTGGTGTTGAGCTTTTGCAAGAAGAACAAAACAATAATTTTTTAGAAATCTACGAAGAAGCTGTTAGGATAGTATGGCCGTGGACTAATAGGGTAGTTTAAAATGGTAGTTTTGTGTTGCAAAAATATACTAGTCTAGAATATAGTAGTATAGCAACATATCCATATAATCATAGAACAATACAACAATACAACAATACAACAATATAACAATATAACAATATAACAATATAACAATATAACAATATAACAATATAACAATATAACAATATAACAATATAACAATATAACAATATAACAATATAACAATATAACAATATAACAATATAACAATATAACAATATAACAATATAACAATAGAACAATATAACAGTATAACAATAGAACTATGTAACAATAGAACAATATAGCAATATAACAATATGAAAATAAAGCAATATAGCAATATAACCATATGACAATATCACAATATCACAATATAACAATGTAACAATATCACAATACAACAGTATAGCAGTCTAAACATATATCGCAATATCTTTACAACAAGAGAACACTATATCAATATAACAGTAGAACAAAGCAAGATGACAATAACATAATAAAACAATCTAACAATATACTCACAAAATGTTACAAGAATTTCAGAATATACTCATACAGTAATATCCCAAGATCAAAATGCACAAATATAAGCGTGGTGTACTAATCCTTGCCGAGACTTTGCAGGCAGGGTTGTAGGGCCCTCTCTCGTCTTTCAAGAGCCTCCAAGAGCCTCCAAGCGCCCCTTCTCATCAGACTCTGAACAAGTGGAGTTCAGCACTCGAGAGAAGACAACAGAGGCGCTTCCCTAAAATTATGGCACTTCTTGGGCTTGCTTGTCTAAGGCGGCCCCTAATAGTTAGGGTGATCATAGTTTTGAGCCCTGACCACATGTGAACAGCTGCTCTCAGGCCAGTTGGACAGGTGCTCGAGATCACGAGAACTTCGAGGCACCTTGCGGATTTTCTGGGTGCTGCGATGGGTTGTCGTATTGTGCTATTCTATTAGTACATTCATTCTATTAATGCAGATTTATGTATGTATGTATGTATGTATGTATGTATGTATGTATGTATGTATGTATGTATATATGTGATTATACTGTTGTGTGAATATCTTCTTATAGTAGTTTTAAATGCATTCTTATAGTAGTGTTTTTCATTTGAATATATATATATACACGTATATCTGTCTATATATATATATACGTATATCTGTCTATATCTATCTATACTGTTTGTATTTTAACATGATTGTATTACTATATTATTGTACAGTTGTTACGTGTGTATATTCTGGTTTTACTATATGATTCCAAAATAGTGTTACTTTCTGATCAGATAGTTCTATTAGTATATGCATATTTTCAGATGATTATAAGTATATAGGTAAATGTGTATACTATTGTACTATTGTACTACTATGCCATTTCACTATTCCACTTTTTTACCTTTATATTATTTTACCACTATACTAGTATACTAGCATACTATGTATGCTATTATGCAAATATACTATTGTACTATAGTACCATTGTACTATCTTACTCTTCTCCGATTATGCGACTATACTCTTATTCTACCATACTAGTATACTACTTCACTATTGTATTCTTATAGAAAACTACATACCATACTAGTACACTACTTCATTCTTGTATTCTTATAAAACATTACCATCAGTATATTGTTACTTTCAGTCGGCTGTGGATTGAACCTCGAGGGCGTGGCCCGTTCATCCCTTCCTTCGCGAGCCGCTCCTTAACCCGATGAGGTCCCCAAAAGGAAAGGGTCTATCATGTATGTATATGTAAGAATATATATATATACATATATACAACACATGTCTATATACAGATATATGTACATGTGTTTTTTTTTTTTTCTCTCTCTCTCTCTCAATTTCTCGAGTCCTTGCCTCTTGGCGCAAGGGGGGGGGGTGGCCTTTGTGAAAACTCCTCCTGCCGCGCCTCCTTCGCGCGCTTTTTTTTTGCAGGGCGCCTCCTCGAGCCAGGCTGATAGGCGCGCAGTTTCTTGGGGCAGAGGGAGTCCTCTGTATGGCAGCCAAAGAAATGGAGCACACCTAGTCTGGTCTTTAGGTGCGCGGTTTTTTGCTACAGTTACTTTGCACTGGGAAGGGAGGAAGTAGCTAAGAGGATGCAAATCCGAAGCCAAATCGTCCTGAAACGGCACTTCTTTGACGCCTGCTGGCTTGGTATCTCTGGGCTTTCTTGGGAGAAAGTGAGCATCATGTCTGATTGCGATTTGCGAGTATCTGAGGGTCATTTCCCTTGATCTGTGATCTTCGATGCAATTCTGGCTGCCGAACGTAGATCGAAGAGGTTTGGGGCCTTGGCTCCTTGTAGCCTGGGCCCGCGTACGGGATGGAGATTATGGTTGCGCTATTCATTGCTTCCTGTTGCTGCTCTGTGCTGCTACACTTGGTAGCGAGAGCGGTGGCCAGACGTTGCTGGCCAGACTGGGAGCGAGAAGTGTCCATGGAGAATCCGCGCATAACGCACGTTGTACTCGTTCAAATTGCTGCCGGCTCTGGCTCTGATGGGCTCGTGCTCATCATGATGATGCTGACTGGAGTTTTGCTTTGGACACCTGACAGTACAGCCACCCAGATTGCCGGATCGCCAGTGGTTTGGGCGTTGTGGGTGCTGCACTTGTCTTGTTTGTGGCTTTCATCAAGGGTCGTAAAGCTGACACCCTCGCAATTGCAGAGTGTTGGGCTTTGCTGGCAACTGCTGTCAGTCATGTGCGTGGTCTTTCCACGCGGTCATGCCTCTAGCTTTGGCCTTTGGCTCCTTCCGGCCAGTGCCCTGCTACTTGACTACACGAACAGTGTTAGGTTGAGCCTTGCTAGCACTGGGATAGCAGTGTGGTGCCACATATCCGCCTGCATTCCTCCCGCCGCACAGCCTTCAGAGCACAGTGCCGATCACCAACTACACAGCTTGGTGCAGCTGCTCATCTCGGATTGCATGGCCTTCTTTGCAGCAGTGTCGGTTGCTTCTGCCCTGGATTTCTGGATGCAGAGAAGCACGATCACACTCTGCGAGGCTGGGCCGGTGGTCTTAGTTTAGAAGGATGCGAGAGATCGGGGGGATTGATGGAGAGGGCGCAAGCAGAGGCGCTTGCAGCGCATGTCGACACATGTCAACCCAAAACCGATTAAGCTTCAACTCGGCTCTGAGACACTAAAACCCTAAACCCTAAACCCTAAACCCTAAACCCTAAACCCTAAACCCTAAACCCTGCAGGCTTATGGCCGAGTGGTGACCGCATTGTCCGACGCGCAGATCATGCTCGACTCCGACCTTGGTGTCGTCGGCTCTGCTGCGATTCATGGCAAGAGTCCGATGGTTTGCTAGATTTCAGCTACTAGAGGTGCATGTGTCAAGGGCCCTCAAGGAGCGGAACATTTTCGCAAAAACCTTGGGAGAACCCAAAACAGTCCGTTTGACCTGAAGCCCGATTTCTCCTCGCATCTTTGGATGTATTTCTCCGTTTTCAGAGTCGAAGGGCCGTCTCAGCTCCCTTTCGTTGCAACATGTGTTGTGGCGACTGAAGTGCAAAGCCAGATTACCTGCCGTTGAGCGCAATCTGCACATTCCCGGAAGGAGAGAGCCCTTCCTGTTTTCATGGGGGTGAACATTTCTATCTGTGTATTTACATATATATATATATATATGCTTGCATATCTATATATAGATAGATGTGTATATATATATATGCATACACATAAACACTTTGGATTCGAAATTCATTTAAGGATTGCCGGCACTCTGGTGACTGTTGCCGGGTTGGGCATGCGGACGGTCTTTTCTGGGTTTCTGGACTCCTTGTCTCCGTCTCCTCAGGTCTCCCTTCATTTGGGTAAGATCAGGGCTCCTGACAAACACAGAGCTTGGCTTTGGTGAGAAGCATGGCTGCTTGAGCAAGCGCGTTTCACGGCGCAGTTTCTGCATTGCATGTGGGAAGTCGCTTGCGAAGTCCGAAGGGGCATGACATCTGTGCGGGGCAATCCCTGACTGAGTAGGTTCTCGCGTTTTCAATTAGGTGTGCCCCGCCCAGATCTGAGCATGGCTTCCTGGTTCACGTGTCCATGGTGGCTCAATCCCGTGGCCGGTGATGCGGCGGTTCGGTGGCTCGTCCTGTGCTTCGTGTCAATCTGAATCTGGTGGCTCCATGGCTCACGCGTGTCGTGGCTCAAGGCGATGGCTCGGAGGCCACTGGCTTGGTATTGGGCCAGTATTGGGTGGCTTGGTGACTGAATCTGGAGGCTCACGTCGGTTACTCGATAGCTTGGCGTGGTGTGGTGATTCAACGCGTTGGCTCGGTGCAGTGCATGTGTGGTGGCTGCATCCGGTTGCTTGCGTGTTCGGTGGCTCGATGCGTCCGGTGGCTCGGTGGCTTGCATCCGCTGGCTCGAGGAGTAGGGCTTGCGTCCTTTCATGCAAGAAGCCGCACGCTCCAGGTCCCGTTCTCACATTTTCGATCCGTGAACAACAAGTTCCGTTGCCTTTCGGAAAAAACTGGCGAGAGATGAACGTTTACTTGCACATCAAGGTTTACGCGACGTTACTTGGCCCGCCTCGGGCAGCGAGGCAAGGTTTCCGCACAAGTGCTAGCGCTACATGGGCTGGATTGAGAGCTTGAACCGCAACTCCGTGCACTCAGACGAAACCCTCAACTCCAAGACTCAAACTCAAATCCGAAACCCCTAAACCCTAAACTTGGAACCTTAAATCCCAGACTGACCCCGAGGGAGGGGGAGGGGAGGAAGAGAAAGAGGGGTAGGAGAGGTGTAGGAAAGTGTTCGAGGTGGAGGGTTGAAGAGGAGACAGGGGAGGGGGTTAGTAAGGGGTAGGCAGGGGGGCAAGGGGATATTTGCGGGTGGAGCAGGCAGGCATAGAGGAGCAGGTAAAGAGGCCTGCCTCACATACTGTTACGTAAGAAAACGAAGTACAAATATTTGGTGAACTTCAGTTGGAGCAGGGAAGGAGGGGAGGGGGAGGGGAGGCAGGCTTGCCGCGCAGCACAAAAGGAAGCAGGACGGGGCGATCGGGGAGCCGAAAGAGAAGAGAGTAAGGCAGGGTGGGGGGGAGGAATAGCTCATTGGCAGGCAAGAGAGGGTACCGAAGGCGGGAGTAGGAACAAACAAGTTGGGTGGGGGGCGGGGGGGTGGGAGGGGGGCGGGGTGGGAGGAAAACACTTGTCCGTCCTCTATGGTCGGCTCATAAATCCTGCTTTGTTGGACTCCACATCACGTAGTGCCCCTCTACTGGAAGGGGTTTTCGGTGGTGTAATTGTAAACGCTTGCGAGCGCCGCCTCGGCAGGGAAAGAGGGTTTCTGGGAAAGGCCTCAAAAAAGGAGGAGGGGGGGTCTCAGCAAAAGGGGGGTCCCACAGTCTCCCTGGCTTTTAGGGGAGTCAAAGACGCCCTAGACCCCAGAGTTGTCCTGGCCCCAGAGTCCCAGCAAGTATAGGAGCAAGCGACAAGTGGGGGGGGGGGGGGGTGTGCAGCTTAAATAGGGTCTATTTGGAAGCTGAGACTTGTGTTTTAAAGAGGAAATCAGGCCCCAAAACGTATACTTATTTACAAGAGACAACTTCCAAATAGACCCTATTTTAGGTTCTGTAGGGTTGCCAAGACAGAATTTAATTCAATTAATTCAATTAATTCATTTATTTACACTTGGGGAGGTTGAATTAATTGAATTAATTGAATAAATTCAATTAATTCACCCACCCCTTTTGGAATTAATTGAATTAAATGAATTAATGGAATTAATTGAATTAATGGAATTAATTGAATTAATTGAATTAATTCAATTAATTCCAAATGAGGGGTGAATTAATTGAATTAATTCAATTAATTCAGTTAATTCAATTAATTCAATTAATTCAATTAATTCAATTAATTCAATTAATTCCAAATGGGGGGGTGGGGGGCTCGGGGCTGGGGGCGGGGGGGGGGCACCATTTGGAAATAATTGAATTAATTGAATTAATTCACCCCCCCCCCCCTTTTGGAATTAATTGAATTAAATGAATTAATGGAATTAATTGAATTAATGGAATTAATTGAATTAATTCAATTAATTCAATTAATTCCAAATGGGGGGTGAATTAATTGAATTAATTCAATTAATTCAATTTAATTCAATTAATTCAATTAATTCAATTAATTCAATTAATTCCAAATGGGGGGGGGCACCATTCCGGGCTCGTAAATTAGTATTGCGGGGAGGCCCGGGCTCGTGATTTAGTATTGGGGGGAGGCCCGGGCTCGTGATTTAGTATTGGGGGGAGGCCCGGCCTCGTAATTTGGAGGCCGGGCTCGTGATTTAGCCCGGGCTCGTGATTTAGTATTGGGGGGAGGCCCGGGCTCGTGATTTAGTATTGCGGGAAGGCCCGGGCTCGTAATTTAGTATTGGGGGGAGGCCCGGGCTCGTGATTTAGTATTGGGGGGAGGCCCGGGCTCGTGGTTTAGTATTGGGGGGAGGAGGATTCCCCAGCCCCCACCCCCCATTTGGAAATAAATGAATTAATTGAATTAATTGAAATAATTGAATTAATTCAATTAATTCAATTAATTCATTTATTTCCAAAGGGGAGGTGGAATTAATTGAATTAATTGAATTAATTCAATTAATTCAATTAATTGAATTAATTGAATTAATTGAATTAATTCAATTAATTCAATTAATTCAATTAATTCAATTAATTCATTTATTTCCAAAGGGGAGGTGGAATTAATTGAACTAATTGAATTAATTCAATTATTTCAATTAATTCAATTAATTCAATTAATTCAATTAATTCATTTATTTCCAAATGGGGGGGATTCCCCAGCCCCCACCCCTCCCCCCCCTTTGGAAATAAATGAATTAATTGAATTAATTCAATTAATTCAATTAATTCAATTAATTCAATTAATTCATTTATTTCCAAAGGGGGGGTGGAATTAATTGAATTAATTGAATTAATTGAATTAATTCAATGAATTCAATTAATTCAATTAATTCATTTATTTCAATTATTAAATTAATTCAATGAATTCAATTAATTCATTTATTCCAATATGGGGGGGATTCCCCAGCCCCACCCCGCCCCCTTTGGAATAAAATGAATTAATTGAATTAATGAATTATGAAGTAAATTCAGGATTTACCCAAGCCCCCACCCCCCCCCCCCCCCCTTTGGAAATAAATGAATTAATTGAATTAATTGAATTAATTGAATTAATTCAATTAATTCAATTAATTCAATTAATTCATTTATTTCCAAAGGGGGGGGGAATTAATTGAATTAATTGAATTAATTCAATTATTTCAATTAATTCAATTAATTCAATTAATTCATTTATTTCCAAAGGGGGGGGAGGGGTGGGGGCTGGGGAATCCCCCCATTTGGAAATAATTGAATTAATTGAATTAATTGAATTAATTCAATTAATTCAATTAATTCAATTAATTCCACCCCCCCTTTGGAAATAAATGAATTAATTGAATTAATTCAATTATTTCAATTAATTCAATTAATTCAATTAATTCATTTATTTCCAAAGGGGGGGGGTGGGGGCTGGGGAATCCCCCCCATTTGGAAATGAATGAACTAATTGAACGAAATTATTTAAACTATGGCGGCTCGATTTGGCCAAATTTTGCCGGGCAGCCTGCGGGCAAAATTTGGCCAAATCGGGTTGCTCTTCGTATGCCATGAGAAATGCGCGGCTCGATTTGGCCAAGTTTTGCCCGGAGGCTGCCCGGCAAAATTTGGCCAAATCGAGCCGCGCATTTCTCAGCGCGTACGACGAGCAGCCCGATTTGGCCAAATTTTGCCCGCAGACTTCCCGGCAAAATTTGGCCAAACCGAGCCGCGATAGTTTAAATAATTTCGGGCCTCCAGAAAGGCGCGGCTCGATTTGGCCAGATTTTGCCGGGCAGTCTGCGGGCAAAATTTGGCCAAATCGGGCTGCTCGTCGAACGCGATGAGAAATGCGCGGCTCGATTTGGCCAAATTTTGCCGGGCAGCCTCCGGGCAAAATTTGGCCAAATCGAGCCGCGCCTTTCTGAAGGCCCGAAATTTTTAAACTATCGCGGCTCGATTTGGCCAAATTTTGCCGGGCAGCTTCCGGGCAAAATTTGGCCAAATCGGGCTGCCCTTCGTATGCCATGAGAAATGCGTGGCTCGATTTGGCAAAATTTTGCCCGGAGGCTGCCCGGCAAAATTTGGCCAAATCGAGCCGCGCATTTCTCATCACGTTCGACGAGCAGCCCGATTTGGCCAAATTTTGCCCGCAGACTGCCCGGCAAAATCTGGCCAAATCGAGCCG